TACTGGCAGGTACCTGCACCCTGGGCAGGCTAAGCCAGGCCTTGCTCTCGGCTCAGGACATCCTGGGGAGCAGCCAGCTGACCGAATTTGGAAATGCAATGGTGGCAAGGAGGGAGAGATGCTGGGGGAAGCAATGGGAAGCTCCCTCCTCCGAGCCACTCCATCCTTGTCAGGATTCAGGTACCAAAGTGGGGAGAGAAGAAGGGGTTAGGTAGGCAGGGGCAAGGGCAAAGAAGGGAGGGCTGCCCTGGTTTTTGTGCTTCAGGTGCAGTCTCTCCAGCGCCAGGCTGGGTCATGCCCCTGACCTGTAATGTGGCTGCAAAGTGGCTCCCCAAGAAACAGGGGGTGCAGAGCAGGTTGTCTGAGCAAAGGTACATTTTCAGAAATGCCTGCCCGGGCCAAACGCTACGAACAGCTTTGGAGAAACCACTCTCTGCTCACAAAACCTCCCCGTGCCTGGCTCACCCCCCGCCGAGGGCAGCGAGCGGATCCCTGGGGCAGCGCACGATCCCGCGCTCCGGGCAATGCCCAGGGCAGCTCCTCACTAGAGCACCGGCACAGGGGGTGGCAGCTCATGTCTGATGGGAAAACAAGAGGGGAAAAAAGGCCACAGTCCATCCACAGCAGCTGCCAGGGGCTGTGGTCGTGGGGACAGGCAGGGGACAGCCTGCGGCCGAGGGCGCTTCCGCATGGTCCTGCTCAAGTAATTCTGCGGTGGGTCAGGTGGGAGCGTGTTGCCATCTCCTTTCTCAGTGCTTTGATCTCCATGGTGACAAGGGGAACACGAGATCCGGGTTTAAAATATACTCTGCCTCCTGTTCTTCCCTCGGGCTGAGGAAGAGAGGGAGAGATGGGTCGGAGAGGTCAGACAGCAAGCGGCACTGGCAGAGAAGCTGAGCCCCGCGCTGCTCTGGGTTAGGAGGTTACGAGCCCACGGCATTCACCAAGGAGGGAGCTGCGCCTCAGGGCACCTAGATGTGACTTTGGTACCACGGTAGGTGACAAGCAAGGATGCCCCAGGGGTAATTCGTGGACTAAAGCAGGGATCAGGGATCAGGTTTGGCTTTTTCCTATGCGGGACCCACTGGGAGTAATCCCAGCGCCAGCGCAGTCCGTGGCACCATCTGGGAGAGGTCTGCAGGATTTTCCCCAGTCCTACCTGACTGCTGGAAGGCTGAGCCTCGGTAGCCAGGGTCCTTCTGAAGCTGGATCTCCTTCAGGGAGAAGATGGAGACGTCTAGGCAGAGGGGGCAGAGAGAGGCGTCAGTCCAGCGGGCTCGGCCGGCAGCGGTCTGCGAACCCGGTGCCAGGAGGGACGGCAGTGCCCAAGTGCAGCACTGCACCCATCAGGGCTCTTCTCTCCCACTCCTCCTCTACATTTCCCTACCCAAATTGTTTCTTGCTCTGCCAGCCACCAAGCTCCCACCCCACTCTGCCGCGGGAGCACCTCTGAGCAAAGACAAGAGGTGTTTGAAGACGACCTGGCTGCAAACCACCACCCTCGGGCTGCACAGCAGCTCTTTGCTCCACGTGCAAGAGGATGGCGGGCACTTACTGTCGGGCAGGAGATGCACCCGCTCTCCCAGGCTCTTGAAGTAAGCGTGCCGCAGGGCTGCCTCCGCCGAAATCCGGCCTTTGGCTTCGTACTGCACAAAGCCCCAGAGAAAGGCAATTACATACAGTCTGCGCGCGTGCGAGACGGCATTCAGCGGGCACGGAGGCCCCAGACAGGGTGTGCAGACCCTTGTGCACCTACGCACATGTAAGTGCCCAAGCAATTTCATACGCTGCGTGGGTGACAGTGTGTCCAAACACTGTGCACACTGGGGGGGGGGGTGCAGGCAATTACCGGTGCCATTTGCATGGGCACAAGGGACCTGTGACCACAGGAGTGCACCGGCCACGTCGTGCTTTAGAATCATAAAATCATAAAATCATTTAGGTTGGAAAAGACCTTTAAGATCATCGAGTCCAACTGTTACGGATCATCAAGTCCAACCTTATGGACCATCAGGTTTGTGTCCTCTCACGTAAGTTCATCATCCTTAATGGGAGGTGATTTGGGATAGCATCTACAATGCCATGGCTGCAAGGGCCATGGCTTATTCTGCAATCACAGCTCCTCTCCTGCCCGGCTCCAAAATCAGTGTGAGGGCAGCCAGAGCACCTTCACTTCAGCAAATCCCTTTGCCATCCACCTGGACTGCTCTACCACTCACCAGAAGGAGGTTCATCAGCAAGTCAATGCCTTCTGAGTCCAGCCTGAGAGAAGGAGGAAATAAAAACCGGAGCATTATTGCAACCAGGAGACATTGCAATCGTCAATGCAAGGGACAAAACCAAAACTGGTCTCCCCAGGCTCCCGTTTACAACCAGCGCAAGCCCACCATGCCTTATGTGTCCCTGCTCAAGGAGGTACCTTGGGGCGTGATTTATTAATGGCTGGGCTCGGTACTGTGTGAAATTGTAAGCCTTAAACTCCTCGTTGGATGTTATTCCAGGCCAGGTGTCTTCTGTTGGGGTTCCTGGGAGGGGGAGAGAAGGAAGCCCGTCATGCTCATTCGGTGCAGCGAGAAGTGCAGGCGAGTGCCAGGGTCCTGCCCGGGGGAGAGGGCACGGATTTCCCCAGCAGGACCCCACGGGGCAGCCATCGAGGAGCTCCTCGCCCTCACAGGGCAAGCCTGGACAGGGGCTTGGGGGAAGCCTCTGCCCACGCCTGCCCACGCCTGCCCACGCCAGGCAAGGCTTCGCCAGCGGGCTCCCCTCCAGGCTCCCGAGGCTGCGCCTCATCACTGCTCCTGCAGTCAGCCACTGCCCTCGCGTGGGGATCTGGGAGACAGCAGAAGACTCACCCAGCAGCCTGAAGATCAAATGCAGCTCTTCTTTCACCGTGGAGCCGGGGAACATGGGCCGTCCGGTGACCATCTCGTAGTGGATGCACCCAACGCCCCTAGAGCAGCAGCGGAGGCTCTGGGATTAGTGAGGGAGAAGCCCTGTGGATGCCCCACCACCCCTTGGCCAGGGCTGAGGTTCCTGGAGAGGGAAATGAGCTCCGGGAGCTGTGTTCCTTCTCTGCTACAGGTACCCACTCACCCCTGATGTGGGCAGCGTGCTCCAAAGTCCCTGAGCCCCAGGGGACACAGAAAGCAGCATGGCCTCTGGGAGAGCCCACCACCCTCTGGTGTAACCAACACCGCGGGCATGTACGGCACTGCACTGGCAGAGGGATGGAAATGCCCCAACCCACCGCCTTGGAGACCCTGGGAAGCTTGGTTTGGAGCCGTGGCTCACCACATGTCGATGGGCGTGGAATATTCGGTAGATCCCAGCAGGACGTCGGGGGGCCGGTACCACAGCGTGACCACTTCATTGGAATACGTTTTCGTAGGGACTGACTTGGCTCTGGCCAGTCCTGAGGAGGAAAGGGATGGGCGTCAAGGACCTGCACCTACCTGCACCTTCTCGCAATGGCCCTGGGAGGCCCACCCACCGAAGTCAGCCAGCTTGAGCTCTCCTCGCTCGTTGATGAGCAGGTTCTGGGGTTTGAGGTCTCGGTGCAGGATCTTTCTCCCGTGACAGTAAGCCAAACCACGCAGCAGCTGGAACATGAAGATCTGCAGGGAGGAGAAGGGGCTGGCATTTAGCGCTGGGACGTGGGCACATCAAAAGTGAATCTGTCTCAAGGGCTCTCAAACTGATGGCCAGGAAAGACCCCTCGAAGCTGGCCTGGGGTGAGACACACTGCAGGCACTGCAGGCAAATGTTCAGACCCAACACCAGCAATCCAGAAAAGGGGCTGAACAAAGTCTGTCTGCACAGTAATTTTATTTAGGGTGGCAGTGACTTGAGAAAAGCTGGTGGAGCATCAGAGCGGGCTGAAAAAGTTCAAAGAAGAGTAAGAAGGCTGAACTGAAGAGAGAAGGGGTATCCAGCCTCACCCAGCCCTGTAACACCCTGGACTGCGCGCGGGGAGAGGCAGGGGGACAGGGTCCCAGGCAGCACCGACTTACCTTCACGTTGTGCACGCTCATCAGGTTCCCACAGTTGTCGAGGTACTGTTTGAGGTCGTTGTCCTGCAGCAGGAAGCACACGTCAGCCTCTCCTTCCCTCAGCCCCCATCACCCACCCGCAGAACGGCAGCCACCCCCCAGCCCCCATTCCTGCAGAAAGTCCCCTCCCCAGACCCACCAGGTACTCGAAGACGAGGGTGAGGGAGCGCTCCGTGTGGATGATGTCGTGCAGGGTCACGATGTTGGCGTGTTTCAGGTTCTTCAGCAGCGACACTGCAAGGAGAGGAGACGGCAGGTTGGCGCAGCGGGAGCTGGGCACATGGGTGGGACTGCAGGTACACACGTCCACCTGCACCACCCATCCCAAATCTGCCTGGGTTGAGATGGGGAAAAGCCCCTCCTGCCCTCACCTTCCCGTATGGCCGTGCAAGGTGCCCCTTCCTCATGCTCCAGGCGGATTTCCTTCAAGGCGACGAGGTTTTCGGTCAACTTGCTGCGTCCCTTGAAGACAGTGGCGTAAGTGCCCTGGGTGGGGAGAGAGAAAATCATAGAATCATAGAATCACTTTGGTTGGAAAAGACCTTTAAGATCATTGAGTCCAACCGTTAACCTAACCCTGCCATCCCACCACTAAACCCTGTCCCTAAGCACCTCATCTATCCTTCTTTTAAATACCTCCAGGGATGGGGACTCGACCGCCTCCCTGGGCAGCCCATTCCAGAGCCTGACAACTCTTTTGGTGAAGAAGTTTTTCATAATGTCTAGCCTAAACCTGCCCTGGCACAGCTTCAAACCATTCCCCCTCGTCCTATCGTCCGTTACCAGGGAGAAGAGCCCGACCCCCACCTCGCTACAGCCTCCTAATACAAACCACGCAGGCCATTTACCAGGGCGGCACAACTCCACAACACTTGGAGGAAGGATCATTTGAAGCTACGGGGCCAAGTCTGAAGTCCACAAAAAGACTTGGTCTAAAAATCGCTAGATATTGAAGAAATTTGGCGACAGTCTGCCCTTTGCACTTCAAGCTGCCCTTCTAATTTAATGTAAATCCTTATGGGGGTTTCATAGTCTACTCACCTCTCCCAGTTTGTCCAGTTTAACATAGGTTTCCAGCTTCCCGAACCCAATATCTGACTGTAAGAGAGAAAGGAAAACATCACTGGGAGGGATCTCATCCAGGGATGGCTTCACGCCTGGGGGGAAGGTCAAGGGCACTGGACAGTACCAGCTTTGGGGGCAACTCAATCAAGGCAGGTGTTTGCATGCAGAAGCCCAGCTGATCTAAGGACACAAAGCCCATTACTTTCCTGGAGAAGCCATGCACGTGACCGGGCAATCAATCAGAAACCCTTCACAGCCAACCGCCTGCTCCAGCGAAATGGATGGCACCTGCACCCCATACCCCAGGGGGGCCGCAGCCTGCAGGACTGCCCCTTCCCGCTGCCACCCTGCGATTCCCTTCCCCTCTCGCCCACCACCCCGACGTGCCACCAGCAGCAGCCAAGTCAGACGGGAGCTGTGATCTGCAAAAAGCCGATGCCCTTTTTGTCAGAGAAGCCTTGTGGGACCCTGCCAATGCCCAGCCTTTCCCTCGGTCCTTTCCTAAATCCTGGTTTTTACTGTGACTCCGTTCCTTTCTCTGTGTGCTGTTCAAATCAAGCGTGAAAGGGACATTTTCCCACTTGGAACAGTAACTCTTTAACGTATTGCCGAGACCTGCTTTCGTGTACCCAGTGAAAGGAGGGCAACCACTGCAAGGCCACAGATTCAGGTGTTGTTCCTAGCAGATCCCTGAAACTTCAGTTTTCGGGGAGGACAGAGACCCCTCCTCGGTTAGTTTGGATTATCTGTGCGCCGGGGCAGGGGATGGATCCCAGCAACACAGAGCGCATGGCCCAGGGCAAATCATTGCTCCTTCAACTTAATAAACTGATGTTATTCTCCCCCAAAATATGTTTGCATTGGTGTAGTCCCAGGCCAGCACCCAGCTCTGACTCCAGCCCAGCTAAAGGCCCCCCAGCCCAGCAGCGCTGCCCCCCCTCCTGAGCCAGGGGCTCATGCCATGCCGCTCGCCATCAGCTAGATGGAGCTGGACGGACAGCTGTCAATCAGCGGGCAAAGACGCTGTGCAGTGTCAGGAAAGGGTCCCCTGCACTGTGCCCAGGGCTCTGCCTGGAGAAGCAGCAGCCCCAGCTCTGGGCTGCTCTTGCAGCCCCCCCCCCTGCTCCCCAGATCCGCCCCACGGGGAGGCTGTCCCCTTGCAACAGGCATTGACCAGACCACCCAGCACAAGCTGTCCCTCGCAGCTGCAGGCTGGGTTTGGAACAGCGAATCCCAGGTTTTTTACTCCATTTTGGCTTCTCCAAACCCTCTGCGTACCCCGGGCACAGATGTGTCCTGAGCAGGGATCGCTGCTGCAATGGGAGGTGCTGTACAACCCCCCCCCTCCGGAGCCATGCTGTGAGTTTTGCAAGGAGCATGCCTTATTCATGGAGGGGACCATGAATATTAATGGTACATTGCTCTGGCTGGGTCTGTTTTATTGATTGGACAGAACAGGCAGGTAAATGCAAGCTCTCCTTTCCTCCTCCCTCCCCCTGAACAGGCACACCAGATCTGAAGGCGCCTGCTGAGACCTGGCTGTTGTATCTGTGTAGCCCTGAGCGCTCCTGGGCAGCAGGACACATGCTTGCACGTTTGTAAACAGGGCCCTGGGTTTTTGCTCCTACGCGTGCTGATGCTCTGTAGTCAAGAAACCGAAATGCCAACCCTAATGCAAAGGCTAATTCATTATTTATCAGCATATGCACTTCGACGAGCAGAGGCTCCAGCACTTGCTGAACCCCAGGAGGCTTTCCACCTCCTCCCATTCGGAAGAGGAAAGTCAGGTACGTGCAGGGGCGAGCGAAGGAATGTGCAGGCCTGGGGATTTGCACAGCGGCACGCGGATGTGCATGGGTAGGAGTGACACGGGAGAAGAGATGTGCATGGTGGGGGAAATGTGTACTGCTGGGAACGTGGGGAAAGGGATTTGCATGGGCAGGGATGTGTGTGTCTGTGTCCATGACACGGAGGGGGTACGAGGGAGCTTGCGCAGCGGGGTGTGACTGCATGGGTGGGTGGCAATCAGCACATGCATCTGCTGGCTGGGACTTGTATGCACAAAGGGAGATGCTGTGCCCAGCACCATGGTCAGACTTACGAGGGAAGCCCGTCGGGACATCCTGCTGAGGGGCTTGGGGAACTCCGGGCTCTCCATCTGCAGCTTCTGCAAGAACTCGGGGGGCAGGCGGATGTCCATGGGCAGGGAGAGACGCTTGCTGACGTCCTGCGGAGAGGGCCAGAAGAGCGGGTGATGAATGTGTCCGATGAAAGAGGGACTGTACAGAGACATTCAAGGGGAGGCGCTCTCTAACCAGAGCTGATATTGATGCCGAAGCAATGGGCGCAGCATCTGTGGGACCCTTAGCCAAAGGAAAAGGGAAGGGGTGTGTGTGTGTGCATGTGGGGATGTGCACCAGGCTTTGTCAGGTACCATGGGCACCACGTCAAGTGCACCCACGAGGACATCAGGGCTCACGTCTGAGACTGCCAGGTCCCCACGAATCAAACACTGGCTCCTCCAGCCAGCAGGGAGGTGACAACCAGAATTTGCCCCGTCCCTTCTGCCCGCTCCAGCCCGCAGCGGTACTTGCCTCCATGGAGAAACGGCGCTGGTTGTTGTTGCGGTAGCGCACGGCCATCGGGGACTGGCCTTCCACCTCGGAGGGGGAGATGGGGCTGGTGTCTGCTCGGAAGTCCCTGCCCAGGTGTCCCATCTGCAGGTGCCCTTGAGCCAGGTCTGAGGACAAAGAGAAAGGAGGGGGAGCTGCTGGAGTGGTAGCAGAAGTGCCGAGGCCCAAGGCACTTATTTTGGAGGAAAGAGAGTGAGAGCAGGGCAGGGGGGTCCAGAGGTGCTCTGGGGCCATGGGAAAGTCTTCTTCCTTCTCTATATCCAGGAGGCAGAGGGAATGCCTGCTTTTTGCTCCGATGAAGGTCTCTTTTGACAGACGGGGAAGGGGATGCAGAGAGGTGAACGGCTTCACACCCAAGGCCACCCAGCTCTCCCACATCCCAATCCAGTGCTCAACCCACCAGGCAGCACTGCCAAGCAGCTCACCCCTCTGCAGCAGCACCATGGGGTTTTGCACGGGTGAGTATTTCTCTTAACTTTCCAGCCTTATCCTCACTAACGTCACATTAGACAAAACAGGATTTGCCCTTTGGGAACACCCAGGTGCCTGACCGTGGCTCTGGATCCCTCTGTGCTAGGTCTGTACAAAAGCAAAAAGAGAGCCCAGCCTCCGGGGAGCTCACAAGCAACACGCACCTCATCTGCTGCAGGAACCACCAAAACTAACAGCCGTCGGGGTACTTTCCTCCACGGATGTGACCGTTTCTCAGAAGGTGTTTGGGATTAAAGGCTGCAGAATCACTTATTGCAAAACAAAACACTCCGGGCTTTCCTGCCCCAACCTGCTGCACTTAGCCAGACACACAGTCCCGAGAAGCACAAAAGCTCTCTTGAAAACCAAAGCAGCTCAGAAAAATAACTCTTCTCTTGGGACTCCAGGTGTGAAGCCTCACTGAGCCCAAGAAACCCTGAAAAGAGCAAGAAATCCGAACAAAACAAGCCATTGAGCTCCCTCTGGTCTCCAGTTTGAGGCTTGCACTTAAGCCTCCTCACTCTGTAATTAACAGCGGGTTGGTAGGAATATTCTGGCACGCGTAGACCCAGGCACAGCAAAACGCTGCCGAGTTCAACGCAGGTCGCCTGGACCCCAGCAACGTGGATTCCCCCGATTCACACGGATGCTGTTTCCAAGGGGCCGTTCAGAAGGAGACAGCGCTGGCTGTGCTGGGAGGGGGGAGGCAGCGCTAACTGGGTGTGCTGGGATGGAGGAGAACTACCTCCGCAGGGGAGGGATGCAAGGTGTGGGGCCAAGCAGGCATGACTATTTTGTCCCCTTCCCAGTAGCCACACAGCTCTCTCCTTGTCTCAACGTTGCAGCTATGCTCCACGTTAGCCATGCCTCTAGGGTCCAAGGGCTCTGCCATAAAGCACTGGTGTCCTCCGGGCATCCAGGCACCCTGCAGTTATTTCCCCAGAGCAAGGAGGAACATTGCAGGAGGGAAATTCCCCGGGGAGGACCTGAGATGTCCCAGGCTGAGCCACTGAGCCCTGCCCCTTGCCAAGCCCTTTCCCTGAGCTGCACAGAGGCAGCCCCGGCTACGCCAAATGCAGATTTCAGCGCACCGATCCCCACGCGCTCCGGCAGCCAGCAATGATCTCACTGCTGAAGGCTGGGGAGGGAGGGGAGGGCTGGCTTTCACGGGGTGCTGAGCAGGGCTGGGACCTGGCTGCAGTTTGCTCATCTGACGGATGAGAGGTGGCAGGCAAGTGACCTGGGAAAAGACGCGGTTTCATGCCAGGGTCACTGGGGGACCAGGGGACCTGCGAGGTAAGGGATGCAGGGTGTCCTCCATAGACGGCCCGCACCTAAGGGACGGGTTCAGCCCATGCCACTGGGCTTGGGAGCATCTGGAAGAGTGCCAGGAGTTTTTGGGCAGACAGGCAAGAGCGAGGCACAGAATCATCCCTTCTCCCAGGACCGCTGCGGGACTCTGGTCCCTGTCCCTTGCTGGCCATCTGTCTGTGCAGGAACAGTCAGGAAACTTACCCTGAATTAACCACAGGTATAAAATTAACGTGGATCAATTTAACAGATTCAAATCTTTTTAACTTGCTCACTTCCTAAGCGAATTATCTGGAAAAAAAAAAAACCAAAAAACCCAAACAAAAAAACCCAAAGGCCATTTAAAATCTGACTGAATGGAGTTCAGCTAATCCACTTTAAATGACAGTTTGGGTGAATTTGTGCTGGTTTCCATAGGTAAATAAGCCCAAAGACTTGGTAAAAGATGCAGCCTGGCCCTGAAAGGTGCAAACCAGCAGCACCGTCATGCTGCACCAGCAGCCCACCGGGCGGGTTGGTGCCAATCTCTGATCACCAACAAGAGCACCCAATGTAAAGTCAGAGGTAAGATGACAACCTGGGCATTCCAGTGCCTGCAAAGGGGAACGGGATAGGCAAAAGATGTGAGCGACCACACGATGGGAAAAGCACATTAAAGTACACAGAAGACTTGCAGAGGTGAGGGGAAAGGTGTTTTGGCCGCCCTGGGGCCAGAGAAGGCAGGGGGAATGTGCCAGCCCAGCCCAGCCCATCCTGCATCGCTGCGAGGTGCCCACGGCACCGGGGATACCCAGGCCCGCAGAGATGCTCTCGCAGGGCTGGGGTTGCCCCAGGGCTTGGAGGAGCCGTGGAGCTGTGGGCGTGCAAACGTGAGGGCCTGTTTGATTCTGCTCGGCATTTCATGTGGATGACAGTGAGCCCCGACACTCTGCAAATAATAAGGCTGCATGGGATATCAAAGCAAATTAAAGTGAGACCGCAGACATGGCGGCTGCCTTTGACGAGCCTCCCACCTTTTTTTATAAATACATTTAAACACTGCCTCTGCCAAAACAAGCTTTGATCTCCCAAGGAAAGGGGCCAGAACCCTTCACTGCTTGCCTGACTTACAACTTTTAATTACTTTGCTAAGCGTGAACTCTCTTCTCAAAGCTCTGCTACGCTCATGAGGCAGGGCTGCATTCAGGTCTTGGATTATTCATCCACCTTCCTCCCCCTCATCATCACTTCTTCGTGGTCTTGCACTCCAAAGGCCAGATCTGGCTCTGATTTATGCCGCTGCAAACTGGGAGTTACACAGGCTTTGCAGCCTGAACGCCGAGACCTTATTTGGCCTCGGAGGACAGAGCAGGCAGTGGCTGTTGTGGGGCAAAGCCTTGGCATAGACAGGAGCTGTTGCTGAACGCCACCAGCTCTTATCAAAGCAAATGGGAGACACCAAGACCTCTGAAAATCTGGAGTACAGAGAGAAATATGTGACTGGGGAAGCCCGGGAGAAAAGGAAGCAGCCTACTTGCCCTCAGCCTTCATGTGAGGCTGGAGCAGCCAAGCTCCCCATCTCTGAGGATGTGGGGATGGTGCTGGCCTTTGCCAAGGACATCAGATATTGCACAGAGCCCAGCCTGGGCTCTCCTTAACCCAGGGGCTTTCTTCTGCCTCTGCAGCTGAGCAGCCTCTGTGGCCGAGGAAAGGCTGGGCTGCCCCAGGAGGGATGCACGGCAGGGTGGAGGAGCATCGGACGCCCCAGTTCAGGCTGTCAGTGAATTAGGCTCTGAGCCCAGGCACCCCCTTTCCCTCCCTGCATCGTCAGACTCCATCAAGGTGACATTGCCCGTGACGGGATGTGTCCAGGCTGGAAAGCTGTTTGCTTTTCCATTTGCCAGTTCTGCTTCTCTTGGGCCTCATTTTATCAGCCTCCGTGGGTGAGGTCATGAGAATTATGGGATGAAGAGGACAGAGCTGGGGATTTCCCACCGCACCACCAACAGATGAGACAGGTTTCTACCCACGAGAAGGTCTTGCCCTGTCCTGTTGCCAGAGTCAGAGCAGCTCTGCACATGCTTTTGGAGCATCTCATGAGAAGGTCTCCTGGCCTCTGCATCACCCTCCTTCCCAAGGACAGCCGGAGGCACTCACAGCCGCCCAAGTGTAGGATTTGCAGACTGCCATGACCTGTGAATGCTGATAACCTGTGATTTCTGATGCTGGAGGGAAAATAAAACCGGCAAGCCATTCCCTGAGGAGCTGTGTGAGGTGATGAAAGAAAAAAATGATGTGCTGATCTCTGCTGTGATTAGCAGTCTTTTCTGGAGCGAGGGATCACAGTGCCTGAACTGTCATGGGTCATCTGCTCACCGGGAGAGGAAAGATCACCGCAGGCAAGTGCGGGCCATGCAGAGGCAGAGACAGCCCCAGGGGCACCTTCAGAGATCCTGAGCAAGGAAGGTGAAATGCGAAGCAAAGCTTTTCCCTGTTTCATGGGGAAGAGAAGCAGCACAAGCGTGACTGCCACGGCCCCAGCCTCAGCTCTCCTACCAGCTTTCTGCACAACTGTCACAAAGTCATTTTGCCTCATTGCACCTTGATTTCTCCATCTGTAAAACGGAGGAGGCCAACGCCTCAGAGAGAACTGCTGCTTCCCTGAAGTCAGAGCCCTCTCCAGATCAGGCAGCTCCCACGAGGTCCAACGCCCCCCCACCCCACCCCACCCCAAACCCTGCAAAAGAGCAACTTGCACATAAACATCCTTCCCATCCCCTCCAGCACCACCAAACCGATCCTGTCCCCCTGCACACCTGAAGCATCACACTCACAGACCATGCCCTAAAGCCTCCTCACCCTGGGGTGCTGGGGCTCGTGCCCCCCCCCAAGCTCTGCCCCCCAGCACTGGTGCATCCACCTTCCCCCTGCCGAGCCCCCGGCAAATCCTCTTGGCACAGGGCTGTGGGCAAAGGGCTCCCAGCCACGAGGGGTTTATTAAACAGCCGAAGAGATGCCTCAGACAAATGTGGTTGTCAGGGCTCTTCATAAACAACAGCCGCAGCCTGCAGGAGACGGAGATGAAGGGCACGGTGGAGGTGACTTCTCGGGGTTGTTTACAATCCCCAAGGGAAACTTAATCAAGAGATCTCGAGGAAAAGAGGGAGCGGGCTCGGGGTGGTGGGTATGGAGGGGGCAGCGTGTTTTGCCTGTCCTGCGTGGGAGGGGGCTTGGGTGCAAACGGGGAACCGTGGACCAGGGGGCACCAGGGAGGGACAGCTGGGGCAGGGGGCCGGGATGTGTCGCACGTACCGACCGGCAGCAGCACATGAGGAGCCAAACCCCACGGGGTGGTGCTGGCAGCCCCCGAGCCCCTGATGCATTTGCGGGTCCAGGCAAGAGGATCTCCTAATCATACCGTGCCACAGTCTAATACTGGTCCAGCCTCTACCCACGGGGTCAGGAACACCCTCAGTCCTGGCCCCAGGCTCCGTCTTGCTCTGACTTTGCTCTTATTCTTTCCTGGCTGCATCAGGAGCGAGACCAAAAGCAGGGGTGGGTAGGCAGATGCTGCGTGCACTGGTTTGCCATTCAAGGGCAAAGGAAGAACCGTGACCGAGGCTTCATTAAAGCAGAAGAAGGGCGAAATCACCTCTCGACAAAGCCTCGGTTTGCTCGGCGGAGATAACGAGCCCAGGCTCAGACATCCCAGAGCAGAGGTCCCCCAAGGAAGGCAACAGCAGCAGCAGCTGTCAGTGCCCAGGACTCTCTTAGCCTTGCACCATTTTATCCCCACAGCTTCTGCACATCTAATTAAGGGCTCAAAGTCTAATTATAGCCCTCGCTGCTTGCTAGGGTGCGAGGGGAGGTGTGGGCGGGGGGGAGCAGGGAGGGAGGCTGCTAAGGGATGCTGTTCAGGGCAGCCTGGGTGTCTGGAG